AAAAAAAAAAAAAAAAAAGAAGGCAGATATTATTACACCTAGTCTATAGTCATGGAAAACAAAATTCTAAGACGTAATACCAGATATTAAGGCTATAAAATGATGGACTGAGTTTTAAAGTTTGTCTTTCTGGCTATCACATTCAGAGACATTTTTCAAGACACTTTCTTCATATTACTTACTGGCTTTCAATGTTTCCATTTGAATTAGACATAATTTCAGCCATGCTCTTGTAAAACACAGAAACTTCTGACATTATTTTTTGTATTATTTCTAAATTGTTTGTTTACATGACTAAACTCCACTAATAGAGTCTAAGTTCCTTAACCACGGGTATCAACAGTGTCTAGTACCCAGCAGGTAATCAACAGATATTTTCGTTGTTTATGTTGTCAACATAAAAAAAGGTGATTAAGTCTGATAGACAGTGCTAACTAGTACCAGTAAGTGTCTTCTCTTTTCTGTTTTCTTTTTTGTCCTTTTTGAGACAAGGTCTTGCTATAGAGTTCAGGTTGGTTTTGAACTCAGAGTAATGTTTTTTTGCCTCGGCCTCCTAAGTGCTAGGATTATAGGTGTACACCACCAAACCAAGTTTCCTTTCTGAATATAGAGTTAACTTGTGTTCTGCTCAAAGTAATGTGGATAGATGTATCACATAGTATTTCCAGACCCTCAAAATGTCCCCCGAATCCCATGTTCTCATTCCATTTGCATGTACGAAAGCAAGTAACTCCAAGATGAGAATACCATACAAATGAAAGAGCCCGTGTTACTGCCTGTAGGAGAACTGCCTAGAAACATCTCTGATCAGGAACATCACAATGGATTTTGTACAAAGACAAATATTCCTTTCTTGTGGTAAGTTAATAAAATTATAGTGTTGGTTTTAATGACAACCAATGTAACCTGTTCTAGCTAATGCAATTTTGCCTTGGTTTTCCTTACATCAGAATTATCAACTTTTTCTTTCATGATACACCTATGAAGTACAAAGCACTGACTGAGGGTGATGACCAATCCAAGAAAAGACATTACAATACTATTACAGAATGAAAGCACTTTAAATTGGTAAATCTAGGAAAAATTAAATAGGCTAGCCAGATCTTGAAAGAAATGTGACCTTGGTTGACACAGAAGAGAAAAACAAACAGACAAACTAGGTAGAATTAAAACCTTGGTTTCTTATAACCATAAGAAAGAAAAGTCAACAATAATGTATTTGCTCTGATCTAGTAAAGGTCTACCTGAAGGCTATGCATCAGAAAACTTCTCCCTGTTGCCTTGCCAGTGGTTCCTCACTCTGTGGTAACAGTACCAATAAAGAAAAATCACAAGCAAATGAAGCCTACAATAATTAGAGCTAATGATCTAATTGGCTCCACTTTGAGAGAAGTTTTAGGGCAGACTATCCATGAGCTGTGTATGATGTCATATGTATAAAAGGATATACTGACTTACTGCACTTATTCTGGGTATAGCTGATCTTCTGCTTATTCCACTGACACTGGTCGTAAGAGTTTAGCCAACTGTGGTATATTTCCATACCCTCCAAGAAGCACTTCTCAAGGCAAATAGCACTGCACTTGAGATATTTTGGAAACTCGTGGGGATATTTTTGGCTTATTATAATGATACTCCAACATTTAGAGTCACCGGTTAGAGACATTAGACATCCTTTAATCCAAAATATGAAACTCTATCGTGTGTTCTACAGAATTTCAGATGTTCTATCAGATGATCACAAAGTGAAAAACTGAATTATTTTGTTTCCAGATTAAATATGCTTGAGTATTTAACACTGAAATATAGTCTATTTCCTCTTATTTCTACATAGTTTATGTAAAACATTATATTGATTTCGGGGATTATGTGTATAGAAGGGTTATAATTTCTACAAACTTCATTTTGGGGAAATAAAGGACATTATACAATGCTCTTTGTAAAAACAGTGTGTAGGTTTTATAGACTTCTTCTGAGAAAATCAAACAACTCAGTAGTGATGATTTGCAAGTACTAACATTAAAAGTCTCCTCAGTGAAAATACTGGAACACTCACTAGCCTAGAGTAAAGTTCACTGGTTAATGAAGCCTAATTATTAAAAAAAAAAAACATTTCCAATTAGTTGGCAATCTCTTGTTCTTAAATATGAAAAAAAAAAAGACCAACAAATATTGTAGAAAACCTATAACATAAAAACACACAAGCAGACTCCCCATGAGAGCAACTAGGTCAGTGCCAGACACATGCCCCCACCCACGTAAGCAAGCAGGCCCACCCTGGATGCCCCAGCCCCACGCAAGCAAGCAAGCAAGCCTGCACTGTATGTGAGGCTTCCCCAAAACAAAGGGCGAGACCGTCCATCAATTCGAAGCTGGCTCTACATTTTGCTTCCCCTTGACACAGGGCAGTAGAAGCGAGGACAATGGTCCAGGGAGAAGGGAGCAATCAGACCCCATGAATGTCGACATTACATCCCACGGTCCACTTGAACCCTCTTCCAGGGGCTTACAACCAGCAGAGACCAGAGGGCTGAAGGGGTGCCCACCCACCAATGGAAGCTAGCACACACCTTGGTTTGAATGGTAACCAGTCTGGGGTGAACGTACAAATGAGCCTCTGGGGGAGAGAGGTCACCTCAAAAACCCATAGGCACTAAAGCTAGGAGGAGTAAAGAATGATTGGCTAGATCTCAAGACTGTACATCTTGGAAAGAAACCACTTTTTCAAAAATAGGAAAGTAAAAAAATGGTGGAGTGGTAAGCTGCAACAAATCTCAGCCTCTCTGAGATTTATTATCCAGACTGGACAACAAACTTGGAGAAGAAACAGAGAAGCAGTTCCCTAGGAGCCAAGAGGGAACTGACAAAAAAAAAAAAAAGATACAGAAGAAACACAACATGTCACAGAAAAGGAAAGAGGAAAGGGACCCTCTGTACTTTCTGGGCAGACTGAGTAGCTGCAAGTGGCTGACTGTGGCTGTAAGCAGCTATTCGTGGCTACAAACAGCTCGCTGCAACGGATGTGACAAAGTGAAAGCAAAACTTTCTCCTCACAGCAGAATGAAACGAGCCTGCAGCAGCTGTGATCTGCAAGGAGAGTGCAGGACTCCGCTACCACTGCCCTTTCACACACAACAGCCGGTGAGTGACCCTAATACAAACATCCGTCTTTCCCTGAAGAGAGTGCTTGCTGGGACACCATTCTAGGAATGTGCTGAGAGTCTGAACTTGGGACCCACAGCAGACACTTGGCTCCACTCCAGGGCTCCCAGCGTTACATTCCTGAAGTAACTGGGTGAGGGACAGCTGTGGGAGACAGCAGAAAGACAGCAGGCGAGGAAAAGCTCCCCTTGAGGATTTGGGGCTGAAGAACACAGACTCAGCTCCTGTGGCCTAAGGCCAGGCTCAGCCTGACTTCAATGGGATTTAAAAGTCAGCAGCAGGGTTTGGTCCTATTACCCTCTGATGCCTGCATCCATCAGGGCAATGGGGTCTGACTACCTTTGTCTACCAGGGTGAGCAGGGAAGCATCTTGACCTGAACATTGCCCAAAAACAGATTCTGGAAGAAAGTCATGTATCCAAAATAACAGAAAATTTTCTCTTCTTTTCCT